ACACACACACACACACACACACACATACAGAGTTTTATTGATTTTATTGATATCATAACAATTTTAAATACTTTTATTCTTATAGATTTGCCGACAATATTGAAAATGTATATTCTTTAATGATGTTAGTATTAGTATTTCATTTTGGTATTGTATTTTGCCTAAGCGGATTTTTATTTATTATTGTAAGATTCAATAAAACAAATACGAGAAAATATTTTAATGTACGCATAAATTTCTTTATGTTCTTATAATGTATATATTTCAGATATTTGCTGATATAAAAATAGATAAATCTATTATTGCACAAGGATATTTTTCGATTTTAATTATTATTGTCTTATTGACGAATACTTTGTTATATTGTGGAGCGGGAGAGCTTGTAACGTATCAAGTAAGCTATTCTCACATAAATAAGATACATGTTTATAATTTGTACAAATTTTATTGTAGTATGTTTTATATCTTAGAGTAATATTTTATGTTATGTTCAACAAAAAATTTTTGGTAAATATTTACAATAACAAACCGAGCTTCGCGTTGATCTTGATATATGTATTGTATATGTGTAAGGCATGACTCTGAGTCATGGCCTTCGAAAGGTCTTAGCTTCCGCTCGTTATTTGTTCCAAAGTTATTAACATTCAAAATTAATCATTGTATCTGATTTTTTAACTGTAATATGGCATTTTATGCAATCATTTTTTATTTTATCTGTTTACGGATAGATGGTACGCGTGTCGATACGATAAAAATTGATAAAAAATTGCCCTTTAGATAAAAAAGAAATTATTTTTTTTACAAAAAGATTAATTTGTTTGAAATAATATCAAAGACGATTTATAATTAAAAATATAAATTATAAAATATCGGTTAGAAATCATTTTTGTGACCATTTCAGACCGATCTTTTTATTAAAAAATCATTTCTCTCTAAAAATCAATTCCCAATCAATTTTCCGTGTATCGATACATCTATCGCCCATCCTACATCAAGTAGGATGAACCATCCATCCTACTTACGGAGCGTAATAACTTTCCACGTAAATATTCTCTACTTTAATTAAATAAAAATGTATTTTTTTTTATATAATTTAAATCAGTGCTGGGATTTAGTTGCACATTTTAGCCGATTTTCATTTTGCACTGATTGAAATTATAGCAGAATATAACATGTGATTCAAAATTTATACTTACATATTCTTTGCTCTAATTTATTAAAAACTGTGAATTTTTTAAATAATTTGGCGTGTTAGTATTTTGTATTAAATACTAACCCTACATTTTTTTAAAGGAAAAGTGCAAGGGAAAATGTGGGCTGGATACTTCGCTTTGCAAGTGATATGTTTCATTTAAGCAGTGTTTCATTTAAAGAGTTACTTCAATTATCTGTGATAGTTGAAATTTTAGTTATATAATTAAATACATTGTCAACTTTATTTACTTTTAAACGAATAACGAGCGGGAGGTTATGACTTTCAGAGAATGACCTTGACAACATGTTAAGGTGAAAGTCATCAGATTTCAGTCCATAAATATTAACCATTTTTTTTACATTTGTGTATGTTAAGTGACCGTTTCTGAATGAAGAATAACAATAATGTAAAGTTTTGGGTCGAACAATATATTTCTGTTTCTAATTATTTTTACAAAAAATTATTTAAATCCCAATAAACTGTTACTTGTACTTCTGAAAATAATTCTCATTGAAGTAGCATGAATATTAATATTTTATTATATGTATTTATTAAGTGTTTTGTTATATGTATTCATTAAGTGCAATGAAGTATATCGTGCAATGTGCGATCTTGAATGGTACAAATTAGAATCAAGAAAGGCGAGAAGTCTTATCTTGTTAATGATGCAAGCCAAACGTCCTTTTTGTATTACTGCTGGAAAGATTTTTCCATTAACAATGGCTACTTTTTGCAGTGTAAGATTACTTAAATTTCTCTCGCTTTTTAATTTTGCTTCTTTGCTGTTTAATGGAACCTGTATTACTTTCGTATGCAACCTCATTCTCTTTTTCTCTCTTTTCCTTTCTTTCTCTTGTATCTACACACACATGCACATGCGAGTGAGCATGCATATGCGTAAATATACTGTGTTAATTTGAGAAATGATTTCAGACAATAGTTTTTGACTTCAAAGAGGACATACGATGGTACTATTTGTCGAGGTCAAGTCTTTGAAATTGTTAAATAGGACTACTCATTTTTTATTACACATTCTTGTAATTTACCTTGAGAACTTTTCAGAATACTATATTAACTATTTTTTCATTAAATATTTTTCGTTACAAGGCTTAAAATTTGCAATACCATCGGCATTAACATTATTCAAAATGTCCGACCGACTAAAACTTCTTAAATGTTGTTTAGGATCATGACTGGTTAATATTTATTAAGATCAATGCCATTGGAATTGTACCTCTCATTTTGAACGGAAAACTCATTTTTACACAAAAATGAAAATAAGAGATACAATTTCCAGTGACTTTGATCTTGACAAATTCTATCCATGTCATGATCCTGAACATTTAACATAATAGATTTTAGTCGTCAGTCGGACTTCTTGAATAATGCTAATTCCGATGATACTGTAACTTTCAAATTTTATAACTCGAAAAATACTTAATAAAAAAATTGCTTATTATAATGTTCTATAGAACCCTCGAAGTAAGCTACAGTAATATGTAATAAAAAATGGAGGATTCCGTTTAAAAAATTTAAAGTGATTTTGCTCTGATCTCGATAATGCTACCCAAGGTCAAACCAATGGTACTATCTCATGTCTCCCTCAAAGTAAAAAAACTTTTGTCTGAAACATTTTTCGATTTAATGCAGTATTTCTGAAATATTTGAGTGGATCCTTTAAAATGAATGCCCTGTATAATTTTTTTAATTAACTTAAGTAATTTTATTTCTTAATTCATTTTTAATGTTATTAAATTAAAGTAAATATAATTGTAAACATCAAATAAATCAAGTTAATTTGATATACAGACATGCAATACTATTCGTTTTATAGTTTGTATGCAACAAAAACCTTGTTTAATAATACTTGTTTAATGTTGATAAAATAAAACAACTTCCTTTATGATTATATTAAGAAAGCTAAAAAATGAGCACATAAAAGTGATACTTTTTAACCCAACTATTTTTCTTTGCAATAATGATATTTAAAATCTATATATTCATCTGTAGTTTTCTCGGAATATAAATTATCGTATTTTCTATCATTTTTAATAAACAAAAGTTCATTATTTACAATATTTACTGTTGATTTTTGTTAAAGTAAGATATAACTAAGAAGAAAATGTTAAATGTTTATTATATTTCGATTACGATAACCATACCTATCTATGTATAATAGAGATTATAGCCACAAATTTTACTGTAACATAAATTTAATGACGATGCATACAAAAATTATTCATACATTTATATCATATATTATCACATATTTAAAATGATATTTAAAAACTAGTTATAATAACATAAATTAATGTACATGCATTGAGAATGGATATTAGTGACGCATATTTAAATATTAGAAAATAATAATGATAATTAATTTTAGATATTAAAATCATCAATCGGCTATATATCATTTCTAATGACAAAACGTGACTGAAGATATATTAACATTAACATATTACATTAGCGTACAAATAAATATGTTTGTGACTACAATATTACATAGCTACAAGTGAAAATTTCCTACATATAAAATACATTCTATTGTTACACCATATTTAAGAAATATAATTATGTTTTGTCTATATTCGTTGTTATTTTTTATAAATTATATTAATAAACATTTTATAATATTTTCATTGCACAGGAATAATTCGATAAACATTATATCTGTGCATTATGTTTAAAAAAAATCAGAAATCTATAAATTTCCCTTTAATATTTGTGTTTTAACTAGGTTGTATGTAGTGATGATTTCATCAATTTTTATTAGTGTTTTATTAAATGAATGTGACAAGAATATAACTACATTGGTGCATCTATGTCAGTTTTATTACTTACATCAATTTTATGAAAAGCTATTTTATCTTCGATAAACAGAAAAATGTTAAAACAAATTGATTATCTCATAGCAAGGATGTTGCCAGATCATTGAAAGCTACATACGTTATAAGAAAATTGCAGTTATAAAGCGAAATTTCATTATTGGAATTGTGAATTACGAATTATAATATACTTATAGCGTAGAGATAATATTATATTCGCTCACGTTTGCTGTAACAATCAATAAGTCTTTAAAAGAGATATTTCAAGATATGCGTAACATATGCAATTTTATATTATCTCTTTTCTTTAATACAATTTTTGTGGCTATAGAATGTCGTATTAAAAATGTAATAGTGTTATTTCTCGTTTCGCAGTAGATGCATATATAATGGAGCAATATGCAACATAAAAAAATTGTTTAAATGTGTTCGGCAAACTTATGATGTGACGCAATATTTTCTGTCTTATATTTTATAAGACTAGGCATAAACGCCCTTTATAAATTGAACGTTTATAAAATTTTCTTACAATATCAGTAGTTAGAAATAGCGTTCTTAATATTTAATGCCGTGTTATCCGCATTTAACAAGGGTGCTGAGTTTTTACATTTGTATGAAGAGCATGCGTAATAATCATTCTGTATCAAACCTTGAAAAGAACGATATCTTCTTCATGTTCTAATTTTCGACATGGATATTACAAAATCTCCAGGATACAAAGGTACTAATTTCATGCTACATTGGTCGCATTTAATGTATACAGTAAACAAATTTTTATAATTTTGTATTGTAAATATATTCTTGAGAGATTTCAGTATCGTTAACTTTTGTTCCGTATAAACATTTAATAATTTAAAAGTATAAAATAATAATATTTGTATAAAATAATTTGCAATTATTTTATTCAAATCGCTTATATCGTATAAAAATTATTAGATTTTTTGTGGGCTGTTAATCTACATCGTTTTGGATTTAAAATGGTGGGTTTGTGGCCTAAACCCAACAAATGCACTGAGAAAAGTTTGTGGTCCGAAATTTGGGTCGGCATCATTTTTATTTTATTAATATTTATTTCTAATGTTCCGATGATATATGCGGTTATAGAAGTTTGGGGTAATATGGTACTTGTAATAGATAATTTACATACAACGTTACCGCAACTGATAATATCAGTGAGATACATCATTATGCGACGAAAACAAACGGGTATGTCCAGAATTATATAAAATAAAATATTTAGTGTTATATTCCGTATTTAACTTTGTTAAATTGTTTTATGACAAATAATTATAATTAGAAATGTATTGTGTATTATAATAAGAAAACAAGAATTATGTATAATTTACTTTTACATATCAACGTACATGAAAATAAATAATAAAATATGTATAATTCTTTTTCTTTGATGTATAGTAGTTTACAAATAGCATATATCCGAATAATTCACTATTTTAACGCCTTTAACAATGCTTATGTTTTACCTATATAGTTATTTATATTTTTAAGTTGTATTGTCAATTGTAAACATGATGGCGGAAGATTGGATAGCATTTAAACAAGATAAAGAAAGAAATGTGATGATAAAACAAGCACAAACAGCACGATTAATTATGATAATTGGATATATTTTCATGGTAATAGCGGTTCTCGCAGTAATCATTCCACCTTGTTTTGGCATTCCGGTAATATACGTAATAACGAATTTCACGGGTGTGAACAAACCATTACCGTTGAAGACTTATCATTTTTACAATACAGATAAGAGTCCGCAATTTGAATTGACATTTTTTATTCATAGCTTTACGACCTTATTAGGAGGTATCATTTACATGTGTGTAGATATTTTTCTAATTTTAATAATTCTTCACATTTGTGGCCAGTTAGAAAACTTTAGATGCCGTTTAACTGATTTGATTTCATGCAAAAATTTCAATGAAGTTTTGAACAACATTATAGAAACCCATTTACGCCTTATCAGGTATGAACTTTTATTGTGCTAGAACGTGTAACGTAATTAATTTAGAAGCATTATTAAATATATTTTTTACAAGTCCGTTTTAATCTTTAAATGTGTTAAAATTTTTTATCTTTATTTGTATTTATTGTAGCAAATTAATACGGATTAATCTTTATATGTGTGGAGTGAGATATAATGTACATTTTCTATTTATTTTCCAATTCAGTGATCATATTTATTGAAAATTTTATTACATTTTATTCCCAAAATTGGCAGCTATAAAATTTGTTTGTTAAAAGTATTCTTATTAGCATATATAACAATTACATAATGTAATAATTACATTAATTTTGTGCACTTTATTTATTAAAAATATTTAATTAGAAATGTATCAGATAATATTAAATAAACGATAATCTGTTTATTTTATGTTTAAGTTAATATTGAGAAATATGTATCTTTGAATATATGTATAGTGTCTTATTGATTTAATGCGATAATCGTTTTAAAATTTGTTTATTCTTGTAGATTTACTGACAATATCGAAAATACGTACTCTGTAATGATGTTAGCATTGATATTTCATTTTGGTATTGTATTTTGCCTAAGCGGTTTTTTATTTACTATTGTAAGATTCAGTAAAATAAATTTGAAAAATATTTCATAACAGACGTAGTATGCTTCTTTGTGCTTTCCTATAATTTATGTATTTCAGATATTTACAGACGAAAGTGTAGATAAAGCTGATATCGCGCAAGGATATTTCTCACTATTACTTCTTATTATTTTATTAATGAATACTTTTCTCTATTGTGGAGCAGGAGAGCTTATAACAGAGCAAGTAAGTTATATGCATAATATGCATAAATAGTGTTGTATATAAATAAATTTATTATACTTTTATGCTTGGATCAAATAATTTTCATGTATATCTAACAAGTATTTTTTTGCTTATATTGTTATAATGCTATTTATTATCAAATTTGCTGTCACATTAGTAGGAAAAACTATTAATAATTTATTTTGTTATATATATTGTTATATATATTTATATGCGTGTTAAATGTTCAATTTTGAATAAAAGTTAAACAGAATGCAAATTCATTCAAGTTGTATAATATGTTTCTATTTCTAATTTTTTTATTTTTACAAAAAGTAAGAGATTAATTAAATTTCAATCAATTATTACTAATAACTTTTGGAAATAATCCTCATTGATATGCCATGAATATTAATATATTTTCTCATACACATTTATTAAGAGCAATGCTGTATATCGTGCAATGTGCGATCTTGAATGGTACAAGTTGAAATCAAGTAAGGCAAGAAATCTTATTTTGTTAATGATACGAGCTAAACATCCTTTTTATATCACTGCAGGAAAGATTTTTCCACTCACAATGGCTACTTTTTGCAATGTAAGATTATTTATAATTTTGTCGGTTTAGTTTTAGCCTTTTCTGTTTAACAATCTCTCTCTCTCTCTTTTTCTCTCGTGGTATGTATGTGTATGTATGTGTGTATATACAATATATACACATACACATATTTATACTTATATATGCAGCTGAATGATTATACTACTTCATGCGATCGTGTTTAATTCTGCTACCGGTTGACTTCCATTTTCAAATTTTTAATTTTCACATTGGCTCTACACCGTCTCTTCGAGATCGAGTAGCAAAACTCCACTTTTTGTTTAAAATTTGCACTACACTATAGCCACGGAAACACGTGAATGAGTTCACCTCTAGCCAAGGAGACACACTACACTGTCTGAGTATTGCACTGATGAGCGATAGTACACCCAAGAGAAAACGCTATTAGTACAAGTGGCAATGCATAAGGGACGAAAGAAAATAAGATTTGTTCGCATTATATGCTCCTACTTTCTTCAACCATAACTTCTATTCACTCAAACGTGCTCAATAAAAACGTGTTGAAGCATGTTGGAGTATATGACACAAACACATCTTACATTTTCGTGCTGAGCAGTCGTATCTCACCACACGCTTGCATTCGGCAAGGCTTGCATTCGGATAGGTCGGGCGAATATTCATTTGGCGATTATTAGTAATCAATTTTCCGTTAACTAAAATTTGCAAAAATTACAAAATGGTATAAATAAGATTACAGATTATACTGCAAATATTATTATAACATAAATTAAATAACGATTCAATAATGATTATCACATATTTATAAGATTAAATTAAAAAACGTAACAATACAAATTTATAATAATACAAATTAAAATCATCACAATCAATCAGTATCTTGATTTTTACACGTACATTTTAAATATACACAAAGTCAATATTGGTGTATATTTAAATATCAAGAAATAACAATGATAATTAATTTTAGATATTAAAATCATCGATCGGTTATATATCATTCCTATTGACAAAACATGGCTGAAGATGATATATTAATATTCAACATACTACATAAGTGTAAAAATATAGATTTTTGATTACAGTTTACATAGTTACAAGTAAAGAATTTTCTACCTAGAAAATATTTAGAAATTTATTGTTATCATATTTAAAAAATAAAATTATGTTTTGTCTATTATATAATTGTTATTTATTATAAATAATATGTTATTAAGTATTTTGAAATATGATGAATACTTTCATTGCATAGGAATAATTCAAGTGATTAGTGATTTTTGTGCATTACATTTAAGAGAAAACTAGGAATTTGTAATACAAAATTATAAAATAAATTTCTCTTTAATGCTTGTTTTTGAATTAGATATTATATTATACGTAATAATAATGTTTCATTAATTTTTAGTGCTATTCGTGTTTTATCAAATCAACGTGGTAAGATGTAATTACATTAGTGCATCCATATCAGTTTTATTATCACTTACTTCAATCCTAAGTAAAGAATTGATCGGCTTTATCTTCGATAAACAAAAAAATGTCAGACCAAATTGGTTATCTCATTGCAAGAATGTTGCTAGATCATAGAAAACAATATACGTTTTAAAATTGCAGTTTTAAGGCATCGAAATTTTATTATTGGAAATACAATTGTGAAGGAAATACGAATTATAATATACTTATAGTCTAAGTAATATTACACTCATGTTTCCTTGAATAATCAATGTAAAAAAGGCATTTGAAAATACGCATAATACAATTTAATATTATCTCTTTTCTTTAGTACAATTTTAGTGGCTATAGAAAGTCGTATTAAAAATGCAAATAGTGTTATTTCTCGTTTCGCAGTAGACGCATACATAATGAAGCGACACGCAATCCGAAAAAAATTTTTCAAGCAAGTTAAGTGAACTTATGATGCGATGAAATATTTTTTGTCTCATATTTTATTAAACCAGACATAAATGCTTTTTATAACTGAAACGTTTATAAAATTTTCTCGCAATATCAGTAGCTGTAATTATGGATAGCATTTTTAATATTTAATGCCGTGCAATCCGCATTTATATGAAGAGCATGCGTGATGATCATTCTGCATACTACCATTGAAGGAACGAGATCTTCTTCATGTCATAGTTTTCGATATGGACATTACAAAATCTCAAGGATACAGGGGTACTAATTTCATGTGCTGCAGTTATGTTTAATATGTGTAGTAAAGAAATTTGTATAATTTTGTATTGTAAATCCATTCTTGAAATACTTTATTATTATTAATTTTTCGTAAAATATTTAATAATAATTTATATGCTAGTTTGCAAAAGTGTTTTCTTCAAATCGCTGATATCATAAAAACTTATCAGATTTCATGTGGGCAGTTAATCTACATCGTATAGGATTTGAAATGGTGGGCTTGTGGCCTAAACTTAACAAATGTACTGAGAAAAACTTGTTGTCAAAAATTTGGGTTGGCATCATTTTCATTTTACTAATATTTGTCACTATTGTTCCAATGGTACATGCAATTATAGAAGTTTGGGGCAATATGACATTTGTAATAAGCAATTTCCAGACAACGTTACCGTTCCTAATAGCATCACTGAAATATGCTATCATACGACGCAAACAAACAGGTATATCCAGAATTATATAAAATAAAGTGTTTAGCATTATATTCCGTTGCTTTGTTAAATCGTCTTATGAGAAATAATTATAATTACAAATATATTTTGGATTATAAAAAAAAAACCAGAAATTATGTATGATTTATTCTTATATTAACGTATATAGTAATAAATTATAAAATATGTATAATTTCTTTGATGCTGTAGATTAACCCGGTAACTCATGTATAAATATACGTAAATATTTATGAACATTCACAAACATATATATCTATGTATAAAATATGTACCCAGACAATATAAAATATTTATAGAATATTTACAAAATATTTGTAAAATTTATTTTTTATTTTGAAAATATTTTTGTGATCTTAGATTACACAACTTATAAATATTTATTATAAAAATTGTGAAAGATTTATCGTATATATCATAATAAATATTAATATCACAGAAAATATTTTAATAAGACATTATATCCAAGGAAAAAATATTAACTAAAAATGTGTATCTATGTTTATCATAAATATTAAATAAAACATTTAGTCTATATTTTAATAACGTTTTTTGAATAAATCTTATATAAAATAAGTATAAAATATTTACATAATATTTTAAAAAATAAACAATAATAAATATTTATAACTATTTATTATAAATATAAATATTCTGTGCTATTTGAGTACATGTTCATACATCCTTTTATTACTTTTTAGTGTAATAAAATATTAATAATAATACTTTTATTATACTAATAGTAATTTTATAAAAGGAAGAAGGATGTGTAATGGACGTATATGAATACATATTTCACATATAATTACATATATATTGGGGAAAAAAGATCGGTCCTAAATAACTTGGAAAATATAAATTTTATAAAAATGTTTCAGACAAAAGTTGTGTAAAAGGTTTTAGTATATATTCATGAATAATAAATTTTTTCCGGAAAATAGCAATATACAATATATCCGAATAATTCATTATTTTAGCTCCTTTAGTAATGTTTATGTCTTACTTAAAGTTATTTATATTTTTAAGCTGTCTTGTCAATTATAAACATGATGGCGGATGATTGGATAGCATTTAAGCAAAATAGAGAAAGAAATGTGATGATAAAACGAGCACAAACAGCACGATTAATTACGATAATTGGGCATGTTTGCGTGGTAATAGCGTTTCTCACATCGATCATCCTACCTTATTTTGGTATTTCAGTAGTGTACGTAGCGAATCTCACAGATGTGCGCAAACCGTTACCGTTAAAGATGTATCATTTCTACGATACAGATAAAAGTCCGCAATTTGAGTTAATATTTTTCATTCAAATCGTAACGATGTTGTTTGCAGCTACAATTTATATGTCTGTAGATGTCTTTCTAGTTATAATGGTTCTTCATATTTGTGGCCAGTTAGAAAACTTTAGATGCCGATTAATTGATTTGATTTTATGTAAAAATTTTAATGAAGTTTTAAATAACGTCATAAAAACCCATTTACGCCTTATCAGGTATGAATTTTTATTATGACAATAGAATATTTTACAATAGAACATTAATTAGAATTAATTTAGAAATATTATTGAAAATTTGTTTTTCAAATTTGTCTTAAATATTAAAATTTTTTATCTATATTTATATTTATTATAGAGAATTAATACGGATTAGCTTTAATATGTGTGGAATCAGATATAATGTTCTTTAATATGTATGTAATCAAATATAATGTAAATTTTCTTTTTCTTAACTTAGTAAATATTCATATTCATTGAAAACTTTATTACGTTTTATTCCCAGGCAAATCAGCTGTACAACTTGTTCGTCAAAAATATTCTTATTAGTATATACATATAATGCAATAATTACATTAATTTTTGTACATTGTTATTAGAAATATGTTAAATGAATGAACAATAATCTATTTATTTTATGTTTAGATTCATGTTTAGATACATTATGTCACGGGCAAAGTCCGCAAGTAGGGACAATGCTGACATTGTACAGCAGTCAACTCGGGCAACGTCGACATTGTCCACTTGCGAATTTTGACCATACATATATATTTTGGAATTAATTCGTAGCGTTTTACAAGTGATGGGAAGTACTTTCATTAATGTATTTTTTAATGCTCATGTGAAATAAATAACATTCTTTCATTAAAAAACGCTACGAATTAATTCCAACACCTAATATGTATATATGTGTATATACATACACACACATACACACACACACACACACACACACACACACACACACACACACACACACACACATATATGTAGTGTTTCATTGATTTCATATAATAACTCTTTTAAATATTTTTATTCTTGTAGATTTGCCGACAATATAGAAAATACATATTCTTTAATGATGATAGTATTGGTATTTCATTTTATTATTGTACTTTGCCTAAGCGGGTTTTCATTTACTATTGTAAGATTTGGTAAAACACAAAATATTTTGTAGCAGGCATAGTACGCTTTCTTTGTTTCTGTGTAATTTCAGATATTAACTGACAAAAATATAAATACGGCTGATATCGCACAAGGATACTTCTCACTATTACTTCTTTTTATTGTTTTGATGAATACTTTTCTATATTGTGGAGCAGGAGAGCTTGTAGCAGAACAAGTAAGTTATAATGAGTATAAATAGTATTTGTATGTAAATAAGTTTATTATATTATTATACTGATATTATATCGTTATATTATGCTATTATTATATTACTATACTGTTATACTAATACTTTTTGAAATAATTCTCATTGAAATGTCATGGATATTAATAAATTTTTTTATATACATTTAAGTGCAATGCAGTATATCGTGCAATATGCGATCTAGAGTGGTACGAGTTAGAATCAAGTAAGGCAAGAAATCTTATTTTGTTAATGGTGCGAGCTAAATATCCTTTTTATATCACTGCAGGAAATATTTTTCCACTAACAATGACTACTTTTTGCAGCGTAAGATTACTTATACAATCCTGGCGTTTTAATTATATTCCTTTGCTATTTGAATGAAATATATTTTACATTTTATGCAATTTGTCTCCCCCCACCTCTCTCTCTCTCTATGTGTGCGTGCGTGCGTGCGTGCCTGCGTGTGTGTGTGTGTGTGTGTGTGTGTGTGTGTGAGGTGAGTCTGATAAGAAGTTCACTAAGTTTTTTTTGAAAACAGAGATAAGGGGGACACACCTATAATCAAAATTGTAGAACAAGTAGGGGGACATACATTCATGATCTTGAATAACCTTAAAGCTTAATCTTTTTATTGTCAATAAAAAAGATTTTTTTTTAATAGGAAAGGATACATTTTAGTCTTTTTATTGATAATACTCAATCAGCTGAATACCTTTGTATTAGAGTATTCCTTCGAAAATTTAACTATTTTTAGGATATAAACTAAAAGAAGTTAGATTATAAGTTTGAAACAAATTTTTTATTATTACTTATTTAACAAATTTTTATTATTTAATTTTTTATTATTATTTAAAGTTATTGAAAAGATCATCAAAATATGTTCCCCTATTTATCTCAAAATATTGATAATAATATATATCTTTTTTTCTAACATAAATTAAATAACACAATCCTTGTAATAATAATTACCACACATTTATGACATTAAATTAAAAATACATTTATAACACAAATTAAAGCCATTGTAGTTTATCAGAATCTTGATTTTTACATATACACGTACATAAAGTTGATATTTATAACATGATATTTATATATATATCTTAAATGTCAGGAAATAACAATAACAATTAATTTTAGATATTAAAATCATCGATTGGCTATATATCATTCCTATTGACAAAACATGATTGAAGATGATATATTAACATTCAACATGCTGTATGAATATAAAAAGATATGTTCATGATTACGTAGTTACAAGTGGAGAAATTTATCTAAAAAATATGTAGAAATTTATTATATCATGATTAAAAAATAAAATTAAGTTTTGTCTATTAATTGTTGTTTATTATAAATTATATAATATATTATTAAGTGATTTAAGTCATTTTGTAATGTGAATATTTTCATTGCACAGAAATAATATGAAAATTTTGATTTTTGTGCATTATGTTTAAGAGAAAATGAGAAATCTATCATCAATCAGCACAAAATTATAATACAATATTTTAATGTTTGTTTTATAATTACATTAATTTTTTTTTACAAACATTATTTAATAATAATTTTTGATATTAATTGTACTTATCAAATCAACATGGTAAGATAAATGTAATTGTCTTGATACATCTATGTGAGTTTTACATTTTATTGCAATTTTTTTTTTAGAAAAGAATCAGTCCTTGCTATCTTATCTTCAATGAACAGAAACATGAACTAGAACACACTCTGATGAAAATAAAAATCAAATGTAATGGAAGAATATCAAAAGTGTAAACAAAGCTTCTAGATGACAAAAATTAAAACAATGAAACATAGAAGAACCGTTTACAAATTACATTCGACTACACAATTTTTATTTTCAGCAGGGCATTAGTTATTTTATTGCGAGAATGTTGCCACATTTTTTAAAGCTACCATACATTATAAACTTGCAGTTATAAGATACTGAAATTTCATCATTGAAAATACATGGACAACTTTGAAGTATGAATTATAAACTACTTATAAACTAGAGGTAATATTACATTCACTCATGTTTATTACAACATTAAATACATCTTTAAAAAATTATTTAAAAAATACATACAATATGCAATTTTGTACCATTCTTTTTGTAAACAACTTTTGTGGTTATAGAAAGTCGCATTGAAGATGCAACAGCGATTGGCTAGATATTATTTTTATTGATAAAACATGACTAGAAATATCAATACTCACATAAACATAGAAATAAGTACATTCGTAATTATATTATACTTATAATGGACACAATTTTCTATTTAGAAAACAATTTTATTGTTATTTATCGTATAGTAAAAATAAAATATCACATTTTGCCTATTTATTTTTCAATAAAAATTATATCATTAAGCATATTTTATAATATAATAAATATTTTTATTGCATCAACAGAAATAATTTGATAGAAATTAGACTCTTTTGCATTACGTTTACAAAACAAGAAAAAACAAGAAAAATCTATATATTAGTATAACATAATAATATAAGTATAGTACATAAGCATTATACAAAATTTTTCCTTAATGTTCGTCTTTGAATTGCATTATATTTAGTGATAATGTTTTACCAAATTTGACATTTTATATAATCAAATCAATATAACAAGATGACTGTATTTACGTACTTACGTTATTTATATGAATAATCACATGTTTTATCACTTTAATTTTGAAAAAAGAAAAGGCTCCTTCATCTTCGATAACAGAAATAAATTTAATTTATTGTGAGACTGTTGCTAGTTTTCAAAGCTGAAATAACATTTTCGCAATAAAATAATAAATGCTACAATAATAATTTTTAGACACCGAAATTTGGAAATGCAAAGACAATTTTTAAATATGAATTATAATCTACTTATAGTCCAGAAAAAATATTCTATCACATTAATTATAATGATAGCAAATATGCCTTTAAAAGAAACATTTAAAAGATGTTATACATGTATAACTATACAATTTTACATCAAGCATTTTTTACTATAATTTTTGTTGGCTGGTATAGAAAGCCTTATTAAAGATGCAATAGCATTATTTTTCATTTCGCAATAAATGCGAACATTATGCAGCAATATGAAACATGGAAAAAAGTTTCCGAGTGAGTATCGACGAACTTATGCGATGCAACATTTTTTACCTCTTATTTTATTAGATCAGACATAAACGAATTTAACTCAAACGTTTATAAAATTCTTTCTTACGATATCAGTAGTTATAACTGGGAATAGCATTCTTAATATTTAATGCCACGTTTGACAATGCTGTCGAGTTTTTGCATTCGTATAGAGAGCGTGCTTGATGATCATTTCGCATCATATCGTGGAAGGAACAAAACATTCTTCATGCTTTTAATATGGATGTTACAAATTCTTCAGGATACAGAGGTACTAATTTCATATTACATATTCTGTTTATTAATCGTTTAATTAATAATCTACTAAATAAGTTTGTACACTACAGTATATTATAAATTCATTCTTGTGATACTGTGTTACTGTTAACTTTTGTTATGTACAAATACTTAATAATTAGATATTAAATATTGAATATATTATATAAATATTATATTTGCAACTGTATTATCTAGCTAATACAGCATAAAAATTTATTAGATTTCATATGGGCAATACATCTACAACGTTTAGGATTTGAAATAGTGGGCTTATGGCCTAAACCTAACAAATATACTAAGAAATATTTGTGGCCAAAAATTTGGATCGGCATCATTCTTATTTTATTAATATTTGTTTCAAACGTTCCGATGATACGTGCAATTATAAAAGTTTGGGGTAATATGGTACTTGTAATAGACAATTTACATACAACATTACCTTTAATAGTAGTATCAGTGAAATACATTATCATATTACGGAAACGAATGGGTACGTCCACAATTATATATACGATTCTCTTTTTGGCGCGATAATTTACAAATAACATATGTCTAAATAATTCAATATTTTAACGTCTTTTACATTGCTTACATTTTATCTACAATTATTTATATTTTTAAGTTATATTATCAATTATAAACATGATGGCAGAGGATTGGATGGCATTTAAGCTGGATGAAGAACGAAATGTGATGATAAAACGAGCACGAACAGCGCGATTAATTATGATGATTGAATATGGTCTCACGATAATGGGGTTTTTAGCAATAATTATTCCTCCTTATTTTGGCTTTCCAGTAACCTACGTAACGAATTCCACAGATCGGCGCAAATCATTACCATTGGAGACATATCATTTCTACGATACAGATAAGAGTCCACAATTTGAGTTAACATTTTTTATTCAGATCTTGACGACATTATTTGCAGCTACCATTTACATGTCTGTAGATGTCTTTCTAGTTGTAATAGTTCTTCACATTTGTGGCCAATTAGAAAACTTTAGACGCCGCTTAATTAATTTGATCTCATATAAAAATTTCAATAAAATTTTAAACAATATCGTAGCGACTCATTTACGTCTTATCAGGTATGAATTTTTATTTTGGTAAAATGTTTAACGATGTTAAATAGTCGATAATATATATATATATATTTTTTTTTTATGATTAAATATATACAATTTTTAATATATGTATACAGGGTGTCCTATTTTAAATAATGCATTAAAATTTCTCGACAACTGTAGATACGGAAAAATATTTCAAACAAAAGTGGTATGGTTCGGAGGAGGACATAAGAAGGTACCATTGATTTAATTTTGGGTGGCGTCGCCATAAGGTCAGGTCATGGTCAAATCGATTTTTTTTCAATGAAACATCCTACTTTTGATCATTTTCAATTTATATCTCAAAAAGTACTTAATCAAAAAATTTTTCCTTATAGCGTTTTAAAAAGCTCTCCACATCAGTTAATAGATTCTGGCATCAAAAATAGTATTTTATTAATAAAAATCGATAATCTTGATGATGACACCCAAAGTCAAATCAGTGGTACTTTCTTATTGTCCTCCGAATCAATTTTTGTTTGAAACATTTTTCCACATAGTTTTCGAGAAATCTTTGTGCATTATTTAAAATGGGACACTTTGTATATATAATGTTTGATTTAATGTGATACCCTTTTAAATAATTTTATTTATAGATTTGCCGACAATATCGAAAGTACATATTCTTTAATGATGTTAGTATTGGTATTTCATTTTGGTGTTGTATTCTGCCTAACCGGATTTTTATTTACTATTGTAAGATGCAATAAAATAAATACGAGAAAATCTTTTATAGCATGCATAACGTAACTCCGGTATATATGCTGCACAAAAACTTAATTTGTTAAGTATTATTTACTACTTTTAAGATAAATAATACCACGATTGAGAAAGTTATTTTATAAAATTATTTATAAGTTATTTCTTAAATCAACTTATACGTATTTGTTAATATAAAAATTGTTTACCAAAAGTAATATAAAATTAGTGCAAATGATAAAATATATTATAAAACGTGAAGTATTTGAATGTACTTAATTTTTGCAATGAAGGATAACTTATACATAACTTGTAAAGTAACTTTCCTAATCTTGAATTCTAATAATATAATAAGGTATAATAGTATAATATACCAATAGAAACTTTGTGCTGTTTAATATATAATTATATATAAAATATGTTCATATATATAACATTTTTTCCCGAGTATTTATAAGTGGGATATACGACTCATGGAAGATTTTACCAATAATGTTTAGAGAAAAAATGTAAAATGATACGATAACTTACAAATTACTATCAAGGAATAAAAATGAATATATATACAGAATGTAATAGATAATAATTCTAACTTTTTGCATATATTACAAGTATTATGACGTACATGGTTCATGTAGTATATTTATTGCATTTATTGCACTGAATCTAATCTGAGTATTTTGTATGCTTTGGGCATAAATTCCGCTTGCTAAAAATGCTATATATTCCAAACAGATGACATAGACTTTACAAGACTTTAAATTGAACAATAAATATAAAAGCACTTGTATTTTGCTGTAATTCGTTTTTTATTTTCTCTTTACAATTACATTTCTCCAAATAATATTTAAGCCTTTCGCACTCTCTAATAATAATCATTTTAAGTAAGTTATAATATATGATTGCACTACTTACTGCATTGACAATTAAATCGATTCAATTGTGTGATAGTGGTTTTAACAT